CGCTACAAGGAAAATACTAGGTATGGAGATTATAAGAGAGCAGGAGAATCGACGATTGTTCCTTAGTCAGAAGGGCTACATAGAGCGGGTTATCATAAGGTTCGGGATGCAAAGTGCTAAGTCGGTGGTGATTCCATTATCTCCACTTTTTAGGCTTTCAGGTAAACAATCTCCTACTACAACGGAAGAAAAGGCACACATGAAGCATGTTCCTTATGCTAGTGCAGTTGGTAGTTTGATGTACGCCATGGTGTGTACACGTCCAGATATTTCGCAGGCGGTCAGTATGGTTAGCAGATTCTTGGCGAATCCGGGAAAGGCACATTGGGAAGTGGTGAAGTGGGTCCTGAGGTACTTAAGGGTACTGTTGATACGGGATTGTGTTTTGGTGGAAAGACATGTCAGATTAACGGGTTTGTGGACTCAGATTTATGCAAGCAATCTAGAAAGACGGTGATCTACTACTGGTTATGTATTCAGGATACATGAGGTTCCAGTTAGTTGACGATCGATATTACAGGCTACAGTGATACTTTCTACTACAGAGGCCGAGTACATGGCTATGGCGGAGGGAGTAAGTAAGCATTGTGGTTGTGGGGTCTCCTAGACGATTTGGGGATTGAGTAGGAGAACGCGAACTTGTGGTGCGACAGTCAGAGTGCGATTCACTTAGCGAAGAATCAAGTTCATCATGCTCGTACCAAGCATATCGATTTCAGGTATCATTTCGTGCGGGATGCCATAGAGGAAGATGATATTTCTCTCATGAAGATGCACACGAATGAGAATCCCTCAAATATGTTAACCAATGTGGTGACAGGTAACAAGTTTAAGCATTGCTTGGACTTGCTTCATATCAGCCCGTGTTGATTTGCCCAAGAGGGCATGGCCTTTCGGGTGGTGATAGGGTGAGGTGGAGACTATATGGAGAACAAAACCTGAACTACGATTAGCTTGATCTCGGTGGAGGGTACGTAGGCAACCACGGTAAAGTGGCGCAACTGATTTAGCCTGGTTTGGTGTTTTTCAAATCTTTTTTGGTGATGTTCGTAGTGTTCTTCTGGTGTTCGTCCATAATTTGAGGTTTATCAAATGATATACGAGGTGGAGAATTGTGAACGTGTGGGGGTATTGTGGGGTCACACCCACATGGGTGTGAACGAGACACAAATTTATGT